GGGCGCTGCGGGGGCGCACCCTCCCTGAGGACGCTGCTTCCTCCTGCCTCGGGCAGGACCCATGTCACGTTGGAAAGCGGCATGTTAGGGCTAGTTTGCGGAGATAAGTGGTAGCGTTGATCTGAACCCCCAGTTCAGAGCTAAGCTGCTGTTTCGTTGGATAACTGCCCTCAGCTCCAGGCCAAGTCACCTTGCACAAGGAAAACTACAGCCCTTCAACTGCTCCTGCCGCTGCTGACGTGTGTGGAACGAAGATCCGGTTAGGGAAGCTTTACTTAATCCTCACCTCACTTTTATAGCATTGCACAAACTGCATTAGAGCTCTCCTAGCTCCTCCTCTGTTATTGTCACTTGCTGTTAAATTTCAATTTTGAGAAATCTTTTTATTTTTGCCTTCACTCTAGCTACAACATCCCCTTTGCTGCCCACACAGGCCTGTTTTCCTGCATGCTGTTTCTTACACCACTTACATCCTCTCTAAATTTACTCTCAAAGCTACCTGGTCGTCTTAATCATGTTTAGAGGCCCACAAGGGAATGGATAAAGATAGGCTCTCATTAAGGCATTTAAGATTAGGATCCTGTTTAGTAACTGAATACACAGATGAACTGCAGTAGTTTATTTGTTTGAGTCCATTATTTCAACTGGTTCCCACCTTCTTCTTGTTTCTTCACTTATTACATCAGATTTATATTTGAGTTTGTAAGATCACTGCAAGAGCAGTAGGAAGGAAACTTCTTGATTCTGCTTGGTGAACCTTCAGCTATCGTGCAAATAAGAAGCAGTAACTAACTTGCACAGCAGGACTCAGCATTACAGATTTGCAAATCCACTGAGTTTTATGGTCTGCTAATTCTGGAGTACTGGTTTATGCAATGAAGAACTACAGAAGTTTCTGAGGATGTTTCTGTATGCACCATTTCACTGTTCTCATCAGCTGTAAATGAAACAAATACGAGCAAAATGGTGTGCTGGACAATTACAATTTATACTCCAAGAGAGCCAATTTAGATAGCCTATATAAAATTTCTAATGTGATATCAGAATGACATTGGATTTGAATAATGGAAATAGATTTTTCAATGTCTGTAGGAAGTGAAAGCTTGGGAAAATTTCCCTGACTAACAGGCTAGAGATGAATTATTTATTTTTATCAGACACCAGAGGTCAAATTGCTGTAAGTCCAGCCTAGATTTCTCAATCTGATTCTTCAGAAGATGGTCTGGAAGACTCATAATTGCTAATATGATATATGGTAGACGCCTCTCATCTTTGATACAACTGACGCAGCCAGCCTGAGAACAAATACTGTTTTCTGCGTCTGTCCTGGGTTCTCTCGCTTTCTTAGGACTGGACATTCATATCAAGAAAACCACTTGCAGAGTTACTTTCCCTTACTTTTTTTCATGGGTTTATGAAAGGAAAACGCAAGGACTAAACAACCTGCTAGAATGAACTCTCCTATCAGCATTTAGTATACCAGAAGCCATTCAGATCGTGTTTAGGAGATGCTTGCATCGCCATTATGCTCTTCTATGAACAGCCTTCAGAGTGGTCAGTCTGACTTTTCTTGTGCTGTTATTACGGCATTTTATTATATTGCACTAATGCTTTACAATATTACCATCGCTTTTTTTTCTCTTCATAAGCTCTGTGCTTCTTTAAAATTTCCCTCAAGTGCAGTTCAGTGTAAGTTTGGTGCAGAGTTTTTATACCTTGGCTAAAATAACTCTTTTAAAGAAACCTTCATTTCTCTTACTTTAAACAGGGGAAGATCCTGGAGAAGACTGGAATTTGCAGTCAAATCACTTTTGGCCGGTATATGCGAAGGGGAAGGAGACTAGCCGTGGATCCAAAGCTCTTTATCCAGGATCTGCAGTTTAAGAAAGTACCTGTTAGGGTTTATCAGCCTAAAGCTCCATCTGATGGGCGAAGGAGAGGTATCATCTTCTTTCATGGAGGAGGCTGGGTATTTGGAAGTCTTGGTAAGATATTTGCTGGAGGCATTATAGTAATTTAGAAAGAACATTCTCATCTTTGCATAAAATTTAAGTAAGTGGAGGTTTCAGGCTGTGATTTGGGAGAAAATCTGAGGACACATACATAGTCTTCTGGAAATTAACATTTCTTAGCTGTCTCAAAGGCACTAGCAAAGGAATAATGAAAACATTTCTTTTCCAGATACCTATGAAAAAGTATGCCGCTACATATCGAGAGAAAGTGAATCAGTAGTTGTATCTGTTGAGTAAGTGAACACTATCCATTTCTATTGTTTGGAGATTATTGTTGTGTGTGTCATGTCACAGAAGAGTTGCACTGGTTTTGGAGATGTTCTTTCTTACAGAGAAAGTCAAAAAAGAAACAAATAGTGACAGCTTAACTGTTTGTGCCCTGATGTAATCAGAAAAGACCCAAATGACAATATTTGGTGCAATAAGAAAATATACAAAAGCCAAACAAAAACTAAAGTAGAACAAGGTTCCTTGCGCTGATCATATGAACACATAATAAGATGCTCCAAAAACTTGTGATTTATGGGAGAAAAGAGAAAAATCAGGCAGTATTACCCCCATTTTGCATAAGAAGCAGAGGCACAAAAAGATTAAATTACTTAGTAAAGAAGACACAGGCAATTTTCAGTGCAAAAAAAAAAAAAGGATTATAAAGGCTCATTCAGTTCCTTAATCAAATGGCAATTCTACTGTACGGAGTCCTTGCGACTGAACATGCAAATTACAGCTTATCTGTGATCACTAACTGGGAAATGCCTACTTAGAAGGTAATAAGTATTCTCAGAAAAAAAACCAAACAACAATAGGGCTGCAGGTCATTGTAAGATACTATTTCCTAATTAATACTACTGATGTTCTACTTCCTTCTCTTACTGTTGTTGTCTCTTCCTGGGTGTTAGGTACCGTTTAGCTCCTGAGCACAAATACCCGGCCGCATACGAAGACTGTCTTAATGCTACCGTACACTTTATGAAGAGTATAGAGCACTATGGGGTGGATCCTGCCCGCATAATTGTCAGCGGGGACAGTGCTGGGGGCAATCTAGCAGCTGCCGTTAGCCAGACCCTCACAGGCAGACCGGACCTCCCAAAGCTACGCGCTCAGATCTTGATCTACCCAGGCCTTCAGGCACTGGACTTCAATCTACCGTCCTATCAGCAAAATCGGGGAGTCCCTCTCCTATTCCGAGAACGTGCTGCTTTCTTTGCTTTGCAGTACCTAAATGGGGATGCATCGCACGTGGAAGAGGTCTTGGAAGGTTCTCATATTCCTGCAGATATTAGGTTGAAGTACAGGAAGTGGGTGAGTCCGGATAACATCCCTGAACAATTTAAGGTCAGAGGCGTCAAGCCACTTGTGCCCACGGATTGCATAGCTGAAGTTTATGAGGCAGTGAAAAGATTCTGTGAGCCCAACCTATGTCCGCTGTTAGCTGAAGATGCTATTGTTCACCAGCAGCCCGAGTCTTTCATCTTGACGTGCGAGTATGATGTGCTGAGAGACGACGGTCTGCTGTACAAGAAGAGATTAGAAGACAATGGTGTTCCCGTGACCTGGTACCACATTGAGGATGGGTTCCATGGAATCATAAGCCTACATGATTACAGTGGTTTTTCGTTTCCAGCTGGGAAAAGGGGACTGGACAACATTGTTAACTTCATAAAAGGCTTACAGTAGGCATCTTACATTCCAGGAGTCTCTTCATGCCTCAACCTAGGAAAATATCTTTTTAGGATATTTGGTATCAAGTGATGGGTAGTCAATCAAGGGCAGCCATTTACAATGATAAACAAGGCTCTTACTCCAGTTGTTAGGTGGAATACTAAGTATGTAAACCTTTCTCGTACATGCTTTGCACCATGCTGAAAGCCCATATCTATAGCTATGTCAATAAATAAGAACATTATTTTGAACTGACATCCTGGTTTGTCCCATTTGTTTCAAATAAAGCGTATCTTTTTCTGTCTGTGAGGAGATTGTGTGTATTGTGCATGTATGTGCAGTGTGTTGGTGTAAATGTGCACGTCACTTATATCACAGTGTTTTGAGACATACTTTAGGCTCTGATTCTGAACTCTATTGGAGAAAAAACTCCATCTGACTGTAGTGAATTAGGAGCCACTGTTTTGCTCAACAGCAAATACCATCATAAAAATATGCCTAGAATGTAGTTAATGGATTGACAGTCACCGTGGAGATACCAAACACGAATGGTTCTAAGCCAAAGCAGTTCCACAAATCTCCGATGTTTCTGATCACACAGCTGTTGGAGGCGGAGCCCCTTTCTGCCCTATTTTTAATGCCGGACTACTGAGTTATCTTTCACGCCCCAGAACTGGAAGGACCGTGATTATACTCACAAGGAGGGTATTGAGACAAAGAAGTATGACTGCATCGCAAATAGACGGACAGGAATGGTGGAAAATTGAACCCAAATACTCTACTAAAGTTTTAATTGGAAACTGGTTGGAAGAGAGGAAAAGGGTAAGATCAGGAAAGAAAGATGAGAACAGGAATAGAGTGGATCAGAACCAATGCTCTGGAGATAGTTTACCACTGCACTCTAAGTTAGAGTTCAGGCTCATCTCAGAAGCATAATGAAAGGGAGGAGGACGAGTATCTTGATTGGCTTGCATTCATTCATTTTGTTCTTATGATCCGTCATTGTTCCCCCTAAGTCAGGACATAAGCAAAGCCTAAGCATGGGGTATAATGTGTGGTTCACGCTGGCTATAACATTGACCAATTAAACATGCTAGGGCATTGTTTATGGCTTTCAGCTCACAGTGCTATACAAGACTTGTGTAACATTATATACCAATATTATACAACTAAGGCTTCATTAGCCCTTCCATAAATGAATACTTACATTAATTGTATCTTTAATAATTTGGATGTTGATTTCATTGGCCTGTGCCAAACAGGTGTATCTTTGTTAGCAGAGCTTCTGTATAGATTGTATGTCCTACATAGAACTGAGAAAAATTTTATCATTACACATTTTATTTTTATTGAAACGTGCCAGTTGGCTTCAATATCGGACCTATTAGGATAATTCCTCCTGACTCCACTAAAACTACTTCCTTTAGATCTATTTTTTTTTTGCCTGACATTTACGAGATCTGATGTGATCATAGGAGATAAAGAGAGTTTAAGGGTGTAAACATCACGTAGAAAAAAGAAATCCTTAAAGTATTTCATTAGATTATAAAAGAGGATTAAATAAGAAACAGAAACACGGTTGGAATACTAAGAAACAGAACTTTGTGACTGAAGAAAAAAGCAGGGGAACAGTCTTCCATAGAAGTCGTCCTATTTCTTAGTACTCTTTCAACTAAGCTGGGGCAAAACGCTAGACACTATCCTGCAAGGATTAGCCTGTTGTGGCAGACAGATTTAGGGACAAAGAGAGGAAAATAAGCCCATTCATCTTTTCAGGCACTAGATCCCACTGTAAATGAAAGGATGTGACACCAAATCATGAATGATTTTTTAAGGGCTGTATTGCCTCTTATATTTACACCAAGGAATCAATCCAGAATTTTACAATGGCTGGTTATACTAGCTGACTTTTCCATTTGAGAAAATGTAGGGAGCACAGACTTCTTTTCAAGTAAGTGCTGTTAAAATACATAGATGAAGAAAGTAGCACTGGAACAGACTTCTATAATTATCAGATTGCCTTAGCTATAGTGAGTGTTTTATATCTTTCTAGTTTATAAAAGCCAGTGGGAAACCCAGCAACAGCACATACAGAACAGACTTCATTTACTTCCTGGATCATAAACCAGACCAAACATCAAGGAGAACCTTTAAGAAGAGACTTGAGGTACGTAAAAGAAATTTCAGATGTAAGATTATGTACGCCAGCCCTCCAAACAGCACTGAATTATGACTAATACTTAAATCCTATTTCATATTCTTAAATGAGTACGTGTGTGAGCTACCTCATATGGGGGATCAAGGTCGGATCCCTTTCAGAGTCAGAGAAACAGCATATACCACATAGCAAACTCTGGTTGCTTCCCAGTATCTCCGTCCTGGGGCGACCAGCGCACATGAAGAACCTCCTTTAGCAGGAGGTTGCTAGCAAAAGAAGATTATTTTCATTAGCGCACCCCTGATTCACAGGAAAGAACTGCACATAAATGAGTCCCACATCTTTCAGAATAATACTTTTCCCACTAGCATCACCTGCTTGAATATCCCTTCCTCTAAGGTGCATCTCCATCCCCAAATTCCCTCCCGACAGACAGTTAGAAAGTATATGCGATGGTAATGACCAAAAACATTTCGGAAGCATATGACCAGCTTTTCAGTTGCAGGCTTAAACGTACCTGCAAATGCCTGATGCATACGTTGAAATCAGATAAATATGTCCCATGACATACACAAACAGCTGCTTAATTTGATTGGAAATTCACCTTATTTTAAAGGTAGATGCCTTGGGGATTATATTATAAGTAAGTAACGTAAGTATTCACAAATTTTTGTGCTATCACTGATGGCACAATCTGACTTAAAAGCATGCTAAACTATCTGAATGCTATGCACAGAGACAAATAGCATGGTATCATATACATCTCATTTCAGGGACTCCCAAAGCAGCATTTCTTCACACATCATGAGGAGCCAAGCAGCCGAAATTTAGTATCAGAGTACGATGATAGCTACAATAGACATGGTCACAACACTCTGCTGCCTCCCCTCCGCAGATGGAATGGACGCAAGTTGGCCTGGATTCCTGAGAAAACAGACTTCCCCAATCTTGGTAGTTTTTGGTATTATTAATTCAAACAGATGCAACACTGTGTACTGGTCAATGAATAGGCTAAGAGCCAGGAACCACCTTCAGTTTTAGAATTCGTTCTGAAACCAGATCTTCTGCAGCAACCTTTCACTACTTTCTTACCCAGTCAGTGGCTTATTTTTCTGGTTGAAAAACTGGAAATGTTATCCATATAACAATGGATAACTTCTCTCCTCTATGCAATAATGCAAAACCAGCTGAAAACAAGGAGAACTGGGAGGTGTAACTGGGAGGAGAATTTAGCTCATAATTTCACAAATTTCTTAAAATTGAATTTTTTTTCCATAGAAAACTGGAACAGTCACTGATTATTATTGTGTCTCTGAATTTAAGTGATACGTACAGCTCTGCTAATTTTTTCATACATGCCAGAGAGACTACGAGGAATCAGGACTGCTTACATTTGTATCATCACTAACATCGCATTGATACCTAACAGTGATTTTCCCTTTCAGCCAAAGAGTAGGCACACATGCTCTGAGAGCAAAAGAAATCCCAGTTTTGTCCTTAACACATTGTCAAAATAGTACAAATGTTCCCTATGAACAGGTGGAGCAAAAATACCCATCAATCTAACTCTATCGTTTATAATATTTAATCATTTCTTGTTTCAGAACCACCCACCAACTATGGCCTTCTTGAGCAGCTAATGAAAAAATGGCACAAAAAAGAAGCTGGAGTGATGAACAGCGTCTACACTGTTTCCTATGAAAAACCACCAACTTCTGCTTTTGCTTCTTGTCGACTTAGACAACCAGCTATAACTCATGACTTTTCTTCCAGCCAGGGACATCTTCCCTGTAATGTTAGTACAATCCCGGACTATGAAGCGGCTCAGAAATATCTGCAAGTCCTAGGCCAACTGGTCAGAGACACAACAGAAACTGATGCGTCTGTGTAAACTACTTATGGTGATCGCGAGCGCTGCTTAAATACAGCTTGATGCTCATATACTTAACGAGTGGTCTGTTCCAAGTGACAGGAATGGGAATTAGGTAATATAGGTAAACGTCTGACTAATTAGAAGAAGTTGCTGGGTTACATTCTGAACTGCAGCTGGCTGGGAATGTTTCTTCAATAGAAGAAGTTAAATCACTGAAAACACAATTTTCATCTGTCAGTCTCTAGTCAGCACATAGTTGCAGTAAAAAAAATACAGAGTTGGAACGATCCTAAAAGGACATAAATCTCTTAACTACTTTATCTTAGCAGTTACTTCTTTTTTATACAGCTTGCTAGTATTTCTTTAAAGAACAAGGACAAAAGAAACTTGTGTTATTCCATAATATGTCTGAATCATCTAAAAGTAAAGTAAGCATGTGAAAGGGCTGGCTACCTAAGGACAAGGTGAACCAAGGTTTCTCCTAATACAGTAAGCAAGCAGACCTTCATTTGCCCTTGGTTTTACTTACCAAAGGCACTTAACGGTAGATAAGCTGCAAAGTGAACTACATTAGTTGGCCTTACAATATCAAACAGTAAACCAAGAGAAAATAGCAGTACGTGGCCTTTATGTTGCTGTATAGGCCACCCTGATACTTCATTCAGTTATCAGAAAGCCTGTGAATGATCTACACACAAAGTGCTGACAGAAGTCCCAGTTCTTATTGCACCAATGTGCAGCTTTTGCATTTAAATCGCATTCTGTTCAGAGGAGATATTTGTAAGGTTCAGCTGCTATGGGTCTGAGGCTCACCAGCAAATCTGCAGCAAGTTAAAGACTTAAATGAAGCATATCTGCAATTACTACAATTTGCCAATGTATATTTATCTCTTCATCAATTTGGAGGAAGATTAGCAATAATATAATTATTTTTAGGCAAAAGTTTTAAAGCATATTCCTTAGTTTTGGCATTGCCAAGCCTCTGGCCATGCTCAGTACAGAGTCCTGCCTCTGGGATTTAGTTTTGCTTTTTCAAAGCTGAACTGATTTTCAGTTTAGTAACACAGACATATCTCAGCAAAGCAACAGTGGCATCTATCGGCAAAGTGAGTATTTACTAACCTTTGTGAGACATCCTAAAACATCTGCCAGAGATGTAATCAGACTCCCAGTTAGTTGCATAAATCAGACAGCAGCACTGTTAACGAAATCATTTTGAGCTGGAAGAGCCCTGATAATTAGATAAAGCATTATTTTGCTTCTAAGTCCCAGGGAGATCAAAGACGCATTACAAACACATCGAAAACAAAATCAGGTGAAATTGGCACTGAACCACAGCCAGTTATTGGCACCATGTTATAAAAAAACCATTCTCTTTAAAAAATTATCTTTAAAGGAACACAAAAATAAGGTATTCCATACAATGGAGTGAAAACTGGTAGATCCATGAATTCTTGTATCCACAAGGAATTCCATCGAGATTCATTTCATTGCCAATACCACTGTCAGTAGCGTATTTTTCTGTTTGCTACCCATGTGCTAATATTATTAAAGCAAATACAAATCAGGCATGCATCTTAATAGTAAAAGAAAGCATATATAATATCTGGAATAGATATTAGACAATTATACAGAGGTATTCTTCATTTCACACAGCTTAAATCAGTTTGCTTAAAAATCTGGTCATCCATCATTTAGAAATATTAAATATTCATAGCAAATGAAACATTTATGATTATTATGTACAGTGCATATACTAAAAGCAAAGATCACATATGGAAAGAAATGACCAGCTTGATGCACAGGGAATTACTGGCAAGCACAAGTACCACCTATGCAATTTGTATGAAGACAGTCATTCCAAATCTATAGGCAGACTGGGCAGGGCTCCCCAAGCACAGGTCTAATCTCTTCAATTATTGAGCCATTTACAAGTAAAATATACAACTATAATGCCCAAAGGAACCAAATCATGGCAGCAAACTGAACGAAACGCATTTTCATAGAGAGCTTTTAAATATAAAAAATGCACAACTCTACAAGACATGTCAGTTGTGATTAATAATACCTCGGAGCAAAGTATCTGCTTTGAGCTCTTTAACTGATTAGCTGTTTTCACTTCAGCAACGCTAAATATGCATCACAGATATATAACTAGCTTTTTAGTGACTGAAGTTTCCAACCCTGTTAACTCATGTTATGACAGAAAGAGTTAGGACTTCTTCATCTCTGTGTTTGGTGAAAGTGGACTCAAACATTGGCTGAACAACCAGTAGCAAAAGGTGAATCCTGCATATCTAGCTTTTGCCAACAGGGAGAGGAAGGAAATGCACTGCATTTGGCATAAGTGCACTGCAGTAGACAAGACAGATAGAAATGAAGGATGCCTACAGCTGTGGGTCAGTCACACAGTGAAGTTTTACCCAGTGCCATTGGTTAAAATATTGATGGAACAAAGACTCCTTCGGCAATAAATACTGTGTCTCTATCTAATGCAAATACATTTCACAATCTCCTCACGTCTTCAGCTTTTATTCACTCAAGGTGAAAACACTAAAGCAGAAGCTATCTTCTCTATGCTTTATCATTACCTACTGATAAAGATAATGGAAAGTTATCCAATCAGATATTACCAATAAATATCATCATGCCAAAACAAGCTTTTTCTCTAAAAGTAAAATATTCTTCTGATTTGACAGATGCAACCGAGCTTTACTTCACACGGTTCTTTCAATCTCAGGGCCTTGTGGTCATTTGTGACTGGAAAGCAAAAGTTCACCAGTTTCTTCAATTTTTCATGGAGTAAATAGATGTTTTGTTACAACTGTTGTTTATGAAAACATTCCAGACAGTCTTGATTATGTGAAATCAGCCTCAGATTTGAACTCTTGTGACATTAGAGAGGCAAGGTGGAAGTTAGAATTGATGCACATCTCTCAAAGCAAGCATATTTCTTGCCTTGAAGGAGACTGATGTCAGCCTAGATGAGCTGCATAAAAAAGAAGCTAGATTCTTTGGACTGAGACTCTCAGTCAGGGTTGGGACTCAGACAAGGAACAGTGATGCTGGCTGGCAACTTCAGCAGTAATTTGGGACTGTGCATGCCAACTGCAAGGTGAGGGTGGTCACAGAGACAAAATGGCAAGGTTTCAGGGAGAAGAGAAACAAGCTATTGACAAGAGGTTATTTGCCTGTATATTTAAACGTGTATTTTTTAAACTGGTGATGAAAACACCAAATGGGCATTAATAACTAGCCTCTTCCTTTTTTACTTCTTTTTGTACTATTTGTTGAACTGAGCTGAAATGATCAGCTCTTAAAGGGCACCATCTTCAAACCATACCATTGATAGTTTCCTCTTTTCTGTAGGTTTGGGCAGTCCAGGCAGATTTAAGTTGCAACATGTTAATGATGATACTTGTCCTGTAATGCAGGGTTCTACCAGGAAAAAAAAATTATTTCAGTCAGTGTTGCTTTTCTCATAGAAATACTACTATGCATCAGCAGGAACTACAGCTCCCCTTAAGGTTAACTGGTATGCAGGATCATGTACACGTGTAGTTCCTCTGATTTCAGTAGGACTACTTGGTTACGCGCTGCTTACTCACCTGAACAAAGATTGCAATCTTCCCAAAATGTGATATATTCTTTGCTGAAACCTCTTTCTTAATCGGTGTTCCACATTCACATTTCAAGGAGTCACCCACCTTAAGGGTAGCTATATGCAATAGAAATGCTGTAGTATGTCATGAACCTGATCCATGCTACACACTGTCTCCAAAGACGACAGTCCTTTGGTTCTTTTTTTGGTCTTGTTTTCTTATGATTTAAAAATCTATTCCAGCTGAAAAGGCTATTTGTATGGAAATTACTTCATAAAGGAATAACTCTGGGATATTGGAGAGCTGCTGTAGGATAAAATTATATTCTTCTATATGTAACTGGGAGATAGCTCCTCATCTGCTGTCGGTGCAGAAGAGAACCTTCTCCTGACAGCATATAACAGAAATAATTTAGCAGTTGCTGTGATGGAGGCATTCGCTTTGAGTACTGAAGGTTCTGATTTCTATTCAACAATGACCCATAACGGAATTGTTAAATACATAATATACTCGTTGTTTTGGGGCAACAGTGTTTGCTAAGAAGGAAAAAATCTCTAGGCACAGTCATTTTATAGGGAGTTGCTCTTTGTCATCACATACTTTTATTCCTTCAATTGCACCAATGCCCAAGGACTCCAGCCTCATTGTGCAGAACTCCGCTGAAAACAGACAATACAAAGACAGCCCCCGGCCCCGAGAGCTCCCACGTCTCGGATTGGTTTTACACATCAGCAGGATTTTAAAAATATATTGAACAAGCCACTCCAGTTCTTTAAATAAGAACTCAGGATTGGCTGCATAAATATGTACTTATCTGCTTCAGTGCTGTAAATATGTAATTTAGGCTGCTGCCTCATGACATATTTTGAGTCTAATTTAAGGAACTGTATATTTGGACTAGAGGGCCTGGATGACTGTCAGGTAAATATTACAAGCTGTAAATTTTCACAGCAGATTTACACTAAATTTAGTTAGCACTATATTTAACGAGAACACTGACCAGATGGTAGCCTTTGTCCTTGACAGTGTTCGGACTTGGAGATAGTTAAGGGTCCCCAGAGGAATGCTACTGGAGTCTCCCTGAAGTTATGAACAGCTACATTCTGTCATGGCAACTCTGACATCCTTTATTTGAGGGCTCAAGTCCCATCAGCTGGCACGGAGCCCTGTCCTCCTTAGTTCACCTCAAGATGGAGAACACTCATGCCAGACAGAAAAGTGCTTACAGAGGATGGGCTTAAAGGCTGTGCGTTGTCTGAGCTTCCTGTGCACCTCAGCCTATACACAGAAAATCTTGGATTTTTAAAAATGAAAACAAAACAATTTTGAATCTGTAAAGCAACACAGGGGCTATGGCTTTTTCACATCAGCAGCTGCTGATGTTGCCCACAGAGTCAGTACTCTAAATTGAACTCT